ATATAATAAACTGAACTCAATTTCACAGTAACATTGTAGAATTGTGTTTTTTTATTATTCAAACATGAAAKACAGAATTAAAGGCAGAAAGGAGTGTCTTTAAATTAAACAGGGGGTCTTCTGGTGAGAAAATCTGATCATAATATATTTGAAATAAAACTTAAAGTCTGTTTATTGCTTACCATAGTTATGTGTTTGAAGAGTTGTTGGAAGCTCTATATAAGGGGTGTAAAACTCAATTACACAAGAGGGCCAAAATTGAAAACTTGGTCTAAACCAGGGATGTCCAGCTCATTTTCACTGAGGACCATGTGAGCATCATGGTGGCCCTCAAAGGGCCAGCTGGACACACTTCAGCTGAAAAGGACTGGACTGAGAAGTAGCATGAGGAGCTCAGCAGACACTATTTCACCAGGTGTTTGTTAGTTGTTGCTGCTGATAGCCTGCAGGAGTCACGGGGTGGGCTGGGGGGGTGGAGGAGGTGTGCTCTGTGATGAGGACGCTTGGTTTGGAGACACAGTCCAAAGGAGGACCTGATCCCAAAAGGTGGTTCTAGGCCCAACCTGTGGTTTTTGCTCCCCTGCTGCTGCCTCAGGACACTACAGGATTCCTCAAACATAAAAGAATGAGCCAAAGTAAGACTCTGGACATGTTTTTGATGGGAGGGTAACATTATAACATGATATAAAACTCAAATTAGATTTTACATCATACTGCCCCTGTACAGAATTGTGATAAATTCAGAACTGAGTGATTAATAAAGTTGTGAAAAGATGTGTATCAATGAGMTTGTTTTATGTATTTTTATGTGTAAAGGAAGATTAGAAGTGAATATATTACTACTGTTGTGTAGTATTTCCTGAAAGCATGTGTTGAGAGTGGAGTGTGAGAAACAGCAACCTCTGATATTTTTGAAGAGAAGTCCAAAYGTGGTCAGCACCTGGTATTTACAGACGATTTCCCATCCAAGTATCAACCAGACCCAATCCTGTTCAGCTTACGAGAACAGACATGTTCAGGGTTGAATGGCCACAGGTGACATCTGTTACGACAAACAGGTTTTCAAAGATAAATCAATTGAAATCATACCTTTACATTTTTTTATATTCTCTATAATATTCATCTAAGAAAAACATCATTTAAAAAATACTCAGGAAAACAGARGCATTTCTTTTCAACTCTGCCTCCTTTGCAGCTTTTTCCTACTCAGCACCACACAACGCAAGAGGCTTTAACAGCAACCAGTTTACCTGACAGTCAAATATTTACCTGCCAAAACCACACATCAAGGAACAAAGTGGCCCATCAAGATCAGCATCTAAATAGGTCAGTCCAGACCACCTTAAAGACAAATGTTTGGAAACTAGATCTGTTATGGAAAAGGTTTCRTTAAACTCATTTATTTTATTCATGGGCTGTTCATAAGACTGTTCTTATCTTCATTTCATTTATTTATTTCTAAAGCACTTTWCACAACCACAGTGCTGGTGACCAAAGTGCTTCACAAAGTCAGTGATTAATATGACAACAAGAAGCAAGAAAAAATGCTGAAATAAAAACAGAAATGTCACTTTATATGTAATTACTAAAAGCCTGTTGGAATAGAAAAGTCTTAAGCTTCGATTTAAAAGGACCCAGTTCAGTAACCAAGTGTAGATGAAGGAGCTGATTCCAGGGTGGAGGTGAAGCTGCAGGAAAAGCACGGTCATCCCAGCATTTATATTTAGTCCTTAAACAGAGAGCAGGAGCTGGCTGTCTGACCTCAGAGAGCGGCTGGGGAAACTTAACTCCTCTGTTATCTAAGGAGGAGTGAGGCCATCCAGAGCTTTAAAAACAAATAGGCCTAATAAAAGTTTAAAATTGATTCTAAAATGGACAATGTTGTGGGAAGATGGTCAGAAACACGGCGAAAGGGTGTTAAAAAGACAAAGTCTTGCGGGTATGATCATAAAGTCATTTATTAAA